TTTAAGGGAAGGAACATGAGTTAGTAAAGCTGACTTACTTATAGTGTCATGTCAAAGCTCACTTGTGTCTGCTCTCTCTGCTCCTTCTCTCCATCTGTCCCTCCTTCATTTCATGCAGGTCCCTTCCTCTTCCTTTGGCATGAGCTGCAGGTAGTCTTTGCTTAAGCCTTAATCTCAGAAAACATTGATAAGCAGAAGTACTTGTTCTGTTCTTCCCCATTAATTTACTCTATTTGTTTACAAAAGGAGACTGGAAGGCTCTTTTCCTGCAGTCAATTAGCTGGTGTATTTACATCCCATAAGTGGCCTTTCAGTAAGAAGGAGCTTCCTTTGTGCTGCAGCTGCAACTTCACTTCGTATCCATTTAGTCATAGATATCTCACTAGTCCCCTTGCACGACTTTGAATGTGTCCTCTGATTTTACACCAGCTTTGCAGAAACTTAATTCAAAGAGGCATGGATACTATTCTGTTTAGGTTGCAAAGCCCTTTCCTCTCAGTCTGTACTCAAGAGGACCCTTAGGGCTCTTCTCAGCAGACTGCCTCACCAGTGCAGGGCCTGGGAGTCCTGCTGCTGCAGCTGCTGAACTTAAGAGGGGGTTTTGGAAAGCAAGAGAGAGAAAGACAATGCATTTTTCTGTTTCAAGACAAAAAAGGGTCAGAGATTCCCCAGGTAAGCTCAGAATTACATGAAGTTTTGTCTACTTAACACAAAATGTTCCTAAAGTAGTTTTACAGCAGTAATTCGTGTTTTAGAGAGTAGTTTTTGAAAGGCACAATAGCTTCTAGTTTTCTTACTGTAATGGTTTGAAATGGTTTCCATAGAGGGAAGCAGATCTCATTGTTTTTCAGTGTCATGTGTGAAGATACACATTAGTGGAGACTGTGTTCATTCTGGCTCCATTTTTTTTCTGAGGGTGGTGTTTTCTGCATTCGGGAAAGGAAAAAAAAGAAGTGTAGAGCATGCAGTGTTTTCAGATGTTATCTCATGCATGATATTTTTGAGTTTCATTACAGCATGTAATTTGGTCCTTTCACTAAGCCAGGGGTTTAGTGTAGAACTTAGGAGAAAAACAGCTTTTCTACCTCGTGCTTTTGTGGCTGAAAAAAAAAAAACACATAAAAGAAAGGAGGCATAAATTATGAGTAGGTGAGTAAAGAACACCACACAGCTACATGGTCTATAGCTGTGCTTTACCTCACTGCTGCCAGTCATTCCCACTATACATCCTTCAACCCCATGTCTGCTAGAGATGTATGGAAAGTCAGTGTTTTAGGGCTAGTTATGGGCTGTATGAAATGAGCTCTGATGAACACCTGCTCCCAAACACCACATTTCTTCCGTTATGTGGGTTTAAGTGAAACTCAAAACCATAGTTAGTGTTTCTTGTATTTAATTTGCAAAATAGACTTACAGCGCATACCCAGAATATTGGCCATATGCCATAAAAAGTATGTGTCCTGTGCAAAGCAAAATTAAGATCAAAATTAACTCACTGGTGACTTTTTTCCTCCCCTCACCCCATGGAGTTTCCAAGCTCAGGCAGACTGGGACTACAGTGCCAGCGAATCAGTAATGTAGAGAAAATGCTCATGCAAGATTTATACAACAGTTTTGACCATGCGATGCCAAAAATGTGGGTAGAGGCACTCCTCACAAATACGTGTAAAGCCCTTGTATCATGAGATTACTCTGAGAGCTGCAGATTATTCCCATCTCTAGTAATCAGTTCAGACCAATTGCTGCTTTCCAAAGCTCGCTTGCATCAGCTAGGAAATAGCTGTTACTGTGAAACTCCACTGTGATCTGCTTTTGATTGAGCTGCTGCTTAAAGAAAAAGCAGTAAGCAAGGTGATGAAAACAATTACAGATAGCTACAAGCTGACCTGTTACTATCTACCTTCATAATTCAATTTAAAACATTCCATTAGCCAGCGGAGTAGTAAAATATTTTTTTGTTAGAAATGTCACAGACAATATTCTTTTTTTTTTTTTTTTAATTCCAAATTAATGAATTAGCTTTCTGAGCTCGAGGACATCCTCAGAGTCCCTGTCCCACTTGCAGGTTGAAGTCTTTTAGTAACTCAAAATACACAATGGTGGATAGGCTATCAGCAGGGGTAAGCTTAATAGTGAGTTACCTCTTGAGATTCATGAGGCCTTAAAAATGTGCATTACTATGTAGATGTGATTCACTCACCCACATTTATTACATCTTAGGCCTTTGTGTGCTATAGCCTGTCACGTTAAGGCATCTCCTTTGGACTAGTAACCCAGTCTCCTTCAAAGCCAGGAAGACTGAAAGACCCTTCTACAAGGCAAATCTCCCCATCCTGTGATTCATGTCAAGGGTGGTGGTCAATCCATTGATATCAAGGATAGACGACCCTTCACCACTGAGCTGATGGCAGTCTGTTGGCCAGTCTTTTGTCAACATTGAGTGCAAAGTCCTGTTTAAACCGGTGCTAGCCGAAAGAGTGTCTGACTACTCTTAAAACATGACCCCTTTTCCTGCCTCTAGACAAGGCATAAATTTATCCTGGTGTGAGAGGTTATAAATCATGCTTTGAGGGGCCAGGAGAAAGGAATGTGCTATTACGAGGAATTAGTGCTCTATGTTTGCATTTTCATTGGCACTTAGAGCTCCCAGTCAAGACCAGGATCTGGATAGATGTGACACCGTGGGTGGGTGCAACAGTGAGAAGCAGGAGGGAGCTTGAGTTTCAGAGGTCATGGGAGGGCTTTTCCTGGCCCATCAGAGAAGGGCACCCAATGCAAGCAAGGCATCATTGGAAGAAAGAGAAAGAAGCTGCTGTGTTGGTAGTTAATGGCAAAGGAAGGAAGGGATATAATATAGCTAAATCCACTCTGAAAATGGTGACAGCCAAGGTGGCACATTCTCCCAAGTGCTGAGTGCTAAAACTGCAGTTTTACTTGGAAGATGATGGGAAACACGTGAAAACCAAGTATGACAGGGACTGCTTCCTCCTAATTCTCAGAAAAAAGAACTTGAAATGTGTAAGTGTTACTTCTTTATGGCCAATCTGCTGAAAAAAAAAAACAAAAAACAACTGTTTTCTTTGGATTCAATGTTTGCAGCAAATGGTAGAACATCACACATTGCCTACTACAAACAATGCCCCTTGGGTGCCTTCATGTTAGAAACAGCTTTGACTATCAGACAGATTTTGTATAGGTGCTTGCAGCTTTCTAGACAGCTCCATTGGAATCAGTCAGTAGATATAAGCATTGTTCCACCTCAGGATAGAAGCTGTCTTTCAGAAATAAAAATACTGGGATTTGTTCAGCACTGTAAGAAAATTTTTTACTTCTGTATGTCTGGAGATGAGTAAACAGAAACCTTGCAGGAATCTTTCCCCACTTGTTACAGATTAGAGGTAGCCACTTCAGTTAGCTTTAGCCATTTGAAAATTAGGGACTTATTCTCAAGAGTTTAAGCTTGCTTTGCAGTCAATGCAGGGAGACAGACCACCCATAGCGGGGATAAGTTGAGCTGCTTTCTGTGATCAGTGGAGAGCACCTTACAACTGAAAATTCAGTTTTAGTCAGGTAACATAAAATTAAGCTAATAACATGAATGAGTTGCCAGATATCACATAGCCCATCAGTGGCATGGTTCCTGAGCTGGGTACTGACTGGTGTACAGGCCTCAAGCATACCTACCATGTTTTACAGCAAAACTTACCCGAACTAGGGGGCAGCCAGAGATTTTCATTTGAGGCTGCAGCTGCAGCCTAGCAGGTACATGTCTGACCTGGTTTTAACTCAACTCATGGAAGTAGTTTTGCAAGCACAGAGTAGCGTTGAGCATCTGAGGACGTAATACTGTCTCCCCATAAATCACTGTGGCAGTTAGCTAGTTTAGAGCAACCTCAGACAGATTCACCATACTCTAGCAGTTATCAGCAATGACTATAGGGGGGGACTTTCTGAGCACTGTTTCTCCTACTGTACTGCTCCTTGCTTAGAGTACTGTACTTTGCTCAGAGCATTTCCTTGACAGACTACTGGGGCAAATCCTAATGCTAGATTTGTCATCCTACCATGGCAGTCTCCTAGGTTTGCTAACCAAACCATGCTCCTGCCTTCTCCAGGTTTCCCCTAAACACAGCAGGGAGTACGTTAAGAAACACTGCAGTTTTCTGCAGTGGTACTTCCACTTTTTAACAGTGGTACTCCTATTTAATAGCAATTTAGATGCCTAATGGTGTCTAGCAGCATTGGTAGCCCAAACTGCTAATAATTCAAGCCCATCTCCAGGACATGATAGGTTGGCTTACCGATCAAAGGCTCCTGTGGACACAAGGATAGCAATCGTACACACACAAGAAAGGACGATGCTTTCAGCCCCCTTGTCCTCTGCCTCCCTAAGAGTCAAAGCAGCTCCCTCTTACGAGCAAGGGAAGAGGTATTCAGCATTCAGCTCACCACCCTCTCCCCTGGGAAGAAAGCAGTGTCTGGACCAAGGGGTTCAGTCCTGAGAGACTGGATCAGCACAGGGGCTCCGGTTAAGCTCCAATGAAAAAACCTACTTCAAGATAATGCCAGGAAGAAACCTCATCCAAGGCCACCTTTTATTGGGCACTTTTATTAGCAGCCTGTAATGACTCTCACACCCCAAAATCACTTGAATTCAATTAACATAATATAACTAATTGCACATAGATTCCACATTCTCAATTAAATGTGTGTTGAAGAAATTCAAGGTCACTTGATGGACAGTGCTAGTGAAATCCTCCCTTTTTCCCAGGTTGGGTGTGGGGTAGCCTATCTCTGAGGTATGTATTTAAACTCCATTCCCTGTGTCAATCAACAAAACACAGAGTTAGGTAGTGTTTGTAGCTGCAGCAGACAGGGAGTTCAGAGGAATTGCCAGATTCTCCTTGACCTTACTTCTTTCCTCACCCAGAAGTACATTTTCCAGTCAGGAAGTAAAACTAAGCTATTCTGATCTATATTTTCACTCTTGTCTTTTCCAGCTACTTCTACATCTACAACTGGGACAAGTCATCTCACAAAATGTGACATAAAGCAGAAAGCCTTCTGTGTAAACGGGGGAGAGTGCTACATGGTTAAAGACCTCCCGAACCCTCCAAGATACCTGTGCAGGTAAGAAAACCTATTTGCTTACTTTGGTGGAGCCATCAGGTTCCAGAAATGCTTTTTCTTTAAAGGAGCACCTGAACAATCTCTTTTCCTGTACTTGTGGCATTAGATATTTCTTCATTTTTAAGGACATGGATGTGACTGTAACCTAGCAAGAACAACCTCTGTCTTCTATATATGAGGTATAAAAGAGGCTAACTGGGAAAACTTCCCGCATGACACTGCCACAGCAAGCCCCATTGATGTTAACATGGCATGAAGTAGCACAACTTGAGCCTCATGTTAAAAATAATGAAATAGATACTGCAAGCTAACTACACTGCAAATATCAAAAAAAGGGTGTGTGGATAACTGCATTGGATAAATACCTTTTATACAGGACAAACTGGTTACTTTTATTTTGTGCTGTAGTGACTAAACACTTTCTCAAGAGACCAGATTCATGACTGGACTTTTTGCTGTTTTGTTTAATTACATAAAAAACAACAAATATAATGATAATTAACAGAGGTTAATATTTTGTGTGAGGATCTTGATTCAGGAAGTCATATGAGTTTATTTTGAAGGGTGTGCTTGTGCACCATTCTTAAATCCTGGTCTGTGCTGTACTGGGCTATTGCAATAGCCCACTATGTTGGAGAATATCCATGAAGAGCTACAGCACTGTAATTCATATCCTGCCTGGTAGCGTTTACCTCTGGAGGTGAGCTAGTCATAGTGAGTTACTGCTTCCCTCTGTCTTGAGAGGAAAGTTAGCATTTAAACCGTGGGACATTAACGTGATATCTAGCAGGACCGAGTGGAAAGGGGACACTTTTGTGAGGATATTGCTGTTTTTCAGACAGAGAAGAGACAATGGTCATTAAAGACTGTCACCTGCTGTAACTCTTCTGGAATTAAAAGTCAAAAAACAATTGTAAAGATGAGTCTGGTGGCTGACCTAGGTAAAGCTCTATGATGCTTAATAAAACAAACAAACAAACAAAACCCAAGCTCCACAATGTTCTGCTTTACTTGTGAGTGTTCTTGGTTTTGTAGAAGGATGTTAGCTGCACTTCATGAGCTTTGTTTTGCTTTGGTTTTTCACAGATTGCTCTGTTGCTGAAAGTGATGAATATTTCATTGATTTTAGAATCATTTTTAACTAAAGTGAATATGGAAAAGTTACTGGCTCTGGTGGCGTGGTTTCTTTTTTGAGAGAGAAAGAGATAAAAAGGTTTGTGTTAAATTTCCATAATCATTCTAAGCCAGCAGTACAAGATGAGCAGTTTGCTATGACTCTCCGGGGCATGTAGAAGAGCCTACCTATCTGTTTTGACTTCCTATCCAAACACTGCTCAGAGAACTCCAGGCAGCAGAGCTAAGCATCTAGCAGACTTGCTAATAATTTACATTGTCTTGACGGATTCAGAGGTACAGGGACTTCTTATTTATTAAATTCAGAAATCTGACCATGTTTGTTCTTTGGTGCTATAGATTGGCTAATTTTTAATTAAATGTCTCAGAGACACTTGAAGTGGGGATCTTTTCCCCCTCTTGTAGACAAGAAATAACCTTTAATTCTGAGGCTGGAGTTGAAAGAAAAGGCATTTCCTAAATTTGGCAGATGTGCCTCTCTCTGGGTGGCCCAAGACCTATTTGGAAAAAGCATCAGAGCTGTAAAATCAGAGAGGGTGAATCTCATTTGCAGTAAGTCAGTGGAAAAGGATTCTTTTCCTCAGGATAGTCAGGGCCACTGGTATTTTACAGGGCCTTTTGCTATGCCCTCTAATACTTGCCAGAATTGAAACTTTATGTTGTGTAGCAAAACAGGACATAATACAGCAACGTGAGAGTACTTGAAAGTGGGTGTACTGGGAAACTGAAGAGACAAAATATGGTTCTCTTCTTATTTCATTAAAAATACAGATGTCCACTTTTAATTCTAGTATTCCAGTGTTAATTAAAATAAGTATCTAACCAGTACACATTGCCTTTATTGTTCTGAGAAAATAAATCTTCTCCCAGAACATGCCTCTGGAAACAGAATGCTTGAAATATGGTACTTGCTCTTCATATTTCTGCCTCAGTAGCAAGTTCACATTTTTCCATATGGTCCATCTGTTGAGAGCAAAAACAAAATTTCTAAAGCATGAGCCATATCATTCTAAATTGGTTTTATCCCTAACCAAAAAAACATGACTCAGATTCACAATAATCACGGAATTTTCCAAGTAATACCTCAAGTTTTGTAAATGCCCTTTCTATTAAAAAAACAAGGAGCTCCTAAATCTATCTTTATTAAAATCTAGCTATATATTAAGAAATACAAAAAAGAAAAGTGTTTTGTAAAATATATAGTATTAAGATCCAGACTGGATCAGATTTTGCTCTCATGGATACTGTTGTAAACTTCAAGAAAATTCCCTGCTTTCAAGAGGCAACCATTCCAAACACTCAAGAAACACGTGAAGACTTAGTAATGTATGTACAGCAACACCTATGATGGCATGCATGTTCTCTCCATGTATTTTAATTTTGCCCTCAGACTGAATAAAACAATCTCAAAATACGAAAGATGAAAAAGGAGGCTATGAGAATACTTAAATAAACTATTGTGAAAAAATGTCAGGAGTTTCGTAGGAACATGAGTCACATTTTGGAAACGTCATAGACTTTCGAAGCTTGGACATTACTGGCTTCCTATGAGACGGAGGTTCCTAAGTCATTTCTGTTCAGTTGAAAATGTGTTCCCTGAAGACCAAAAACCCCCCAAAAAAACAGATAGCTTCTTCAATAAATACAAAATTGGGACCAGAATTCCTAGTGTTTGCTTCTTACTTGAAGAAAAACTTATATGAATATAATACCCATTACTCTTTTAGAGTAATTTTTTGAAGTATCCTAACCAGGAAAGCCTTGCTGGTCTGACTAATCGATTTCTTACTCACAGAGATCATCTTTCTAGTCCTTTCAGTGTTACTGAAGAAATGATTTTACATCTGAATTTCACTGTATGAAAATAATGTTTCTCTCTAACAGAAAGATGCAGCTACTTTTCTTAATAGTAAATAAGTGAACTACAGACTTTTTAATAATACAGCCATTTTCTATATCCATTGTCATGAAAAGGCTTTGGTGGAATAGAAATTGATGGAACATTCTTAAAAGCAGCAGAAAGAGGAAATTTGTTTCCATAATACTAGCAAAAGTTGCAGAGATTCATTCAACAAGCTGGATGGAAATAATAGTTCTGATTTAACTTAGGCTATGAAATGGATTACTAAATATGGGAATAGGCTGTACTTCCCATGGAGAAAAACATTCTCCCATAATGTATTTGCTTATAAGCAGTGGAGGAAATGGAAATGTGAGGTCCTCATCCATTCAGCCATTCCTCTCCTGCCAAAACCCAGTTTGATGACATGCATTCAGTGCAAGTACTGCTCTTTGCAACTACTGTGTGTAGAGCAAAAAGCAATCTTATTAGTATATGTGTTTTAGTATTGTGGTTTCATCCAGTTAATGTAATAAATAACTAGTCCACGTAGTCCCTTTTAGTCAGAAAGGAAATGATAAGGCTTTCACAGCACAAATGTCTATCGCTGTCTGTGTTGCTTCACTCCAAATTTTGATAGCGTCATAAAAGAAAATGGTACCTGGGTAGTGAACTAGGAAGGACAGGCTCAACAACAAAAAAACATCTGGAAACTCTGAGTAAGCCAAGGTTTTTGAAAACCATACTGTTGCAAGCTGTTTGTAAAAGCACGTCTACAGTAAACAATCCACCACACAGCGCTGGAAACAGCTTTGCACTGTATATCTGAGCAACAACATGTCTTCAGCATTCACACATAATCATAAGCAGACAGGCATCATCTCAGCTGTTGTCTTGGCTGGCCCACCCTGGACCATTCTCAATGGCAGGTGCCGTAGTCCATTTGCTGACAATGGTTTCAGAGCGAGTATAAAGGCACCTGAACTGTTTTCAGCACCATGTCAACAGGGCTGACCCTGCTCGGTTTGGAATAGATTTCATCATTGTCTACACCAGTGTTCAAGTTGTTTTCATCACCTCCACAGCTGCAACCAACATCTGAAAACAAGCACAGACAGAGGAAGCAACCGCCACTGGCCAGTGATAGGAGCAAAGCCTGAGGCTTTTAATCCACAGCATGTTCATTGGGATTGTGTAGGGCTCAGCCTGACAAACAAGATGTAGAGGTCCCTGTGAAGTGAAAGCCAACACAGCTGTGAATGCCATCTTGCCAGGGATGGGTATGAAACAACATCACCGTAGTGCAAAATAAAATTGGAATCAGAGGGGTAGAACATTTTTACTCTTATTTAGTACCACAAGTCAAAATGTCTTCTATCAAAGGCATTTTGCCTTCTGTTAGAGAGGCAAAAAGTCTTCTATCTGGTCCAGCAATATCACCTTTTCATGACAGAGGTATCTGTTATGTTTTTCTCAACTGAATATATCTGTGGAGACTAGGATCTCTCTAGGGTACTTACCAAAAGATGTGACCTTGTCTCTGAAGAACATAAAATCCCTTCCTTTGTAAACAAATGTATTACAGCAAATCAGCTCCAAAGAGTCATCTGCAGAACCTCAAAATAGACCCTGATTTTACAGTAATAATTCTTGCATGTTTTACTCGAACAAGAGCCTAGTGTTTATGTCTGACACTGGTCCTTTGCCAAAGTGATTTTCTGGAAATCCCACTTGTACAAGGGCAGCATCCCTCACCTTAGGGCTAGAAACAATTGTGAAACAATGGAATTTGAAAAATCAGGACAGCTTTCAGTGCACATGAAACTTGGACGGACAGAAGAGGTGGAAGATTGTTCTGAGCAACATGCATTTGCAAATAAGAAGGATCTTTGTCCCCTGGCAAGTAAATGATGAAGCAATTTGCAAAGGAGACTAGCACCAGATTGGCAGTAGGAGAAAAAAAGGAGATGATTCTTGCGCCATGACAGACTCATGGAGAATGTGAGTGACATGCAATGCAAGTGAGATGTATTCAGGAAAGCACATATCAGGTAATTTCAGGTTACACACTGAATAAGAGAGGATAGAAGAAGGAGAAGGAAAGAAGGTTGAAATCTATAGATCATTGGTGTGATGGACAGTAATTCACACTTACATTTGAACTACAGGAGCCTGCATTGCTATAGTGATATTTTGGGAGCCTGAGTTCTGCCCCAAAATGGAGAATAAAGGTGCAGGAAGAATTGACACCCAGCAGCAGAAAAGACAGGGAAAGCACAGAAGAGAAATTCCTTCACTGTGACCAAGGGGGAAGCTGCACCAAAGTTTGCTGCAGAATTGCTTATGAACTGCAAGGGCAGACAGCAATGGGGCTTCAGATTTAGAGAACACCTTTGCCTTCTGATCTTCCTTATGGACCAGACTGACTGTTTTTTCATCTGTCAGCCATGTTGAATATACCTCCTGCCTTGGAATCTGAGTTTGACTTCTCACTTTTTGGACTTTTTTCTGTGATTGCTGCTTTAACTATTCCACTTCAAAGGAAATTACTGGAAGACACAGCATGTTATTACAGAAGTAGGGAAAGCATGGTATTTTCATAGATTCTATGTGACTGGTGAAAGCAACAGTGTAAATTGCTGTTTTACACGGCTTTGCAAATTGAGAAAAAACTTACTCTGGTGCCTTCATGAGGTGGAATAAGCCATGAGCTGATACACATTTTTGCTAGTCTTGATTCTTCTTTTTCTTCTTTGTTTTTTTTCTTTTTTTCTTTTTTTTCAAAACAGACAAGCAAAAAGAATTCTTAGGTTTTGATTTTTTATTTTTTTTTTCCTCTGGTGAATTTTTACTGTAAATTTTGCAAAGTGTTGTGTTCTGGAAAGTTTATACTTTCTTGCCCCTTTTATGATCATTTTTTTCTAACACCTAACCAGGAGGTCACTTAGTGCACTCCCATCTCCGTAGGCCAGCAGATGTGAGCCTGTTAGTGCAGCAGTTTTGGTGTACTTTTGCTTATCACGTTTTTGCCCTTTAGGTGCCAACCTGGATTCACTGGAGCAAGATGTACTGAAACTCTGCCCATGAAAATCCAAAACCAAGAAAGTATGTTAAAATAATCTGAACTTTGCTTTCTTCCCCAACTACAGCAACAAAATCAATAGTACTTGGTGTTTTCACAATTCAGCTGGAACCGGCCTCTTTACGCACTAATTTATGACCTGATTCTCTAAAGTGAAACCTGTACGCCATGGCATTACTGACCTCCAAAATGTTTCTCATTTGTGTGATTTTTGATCTCTTCATCCGTTCACAGATGCATTTGCATTGCACACACCAGCAGCTTTCTTGTTTGGGAGACTGCTGTAAAGTGCAACCCTAAAAGAGCAAACTCACGGAGATGAGTGATGTGTCCTCGCTGCCTTGTGGGAAGTACATCCTAAAAGCAATTTGGGAATTTGGAATGGTGAATTTCTGCCTTGAAACATCTTGAAACAGACTTTGATCTGGATTGGATTGGTTTGGTTCGACTGGCTTTTCGGGGGGGTGGATTTCTTTTCATTTCCACAGAGCAAATGAGTTGCTCTCAGCATCTTGAGCCATTTTGACATGCTAAACCGAGATTCAGTTTCTGAAAGTGAACTCACCAAGTCATATCAGTTCACACTGATGGAGCTTCTCTCTTAGCATATATTCACCTCTTCTCTTTTCTCTGTTTTTTCTGTACCATTTTTTTTTTGTTTGTTTTTCCTCTCAGGTGCCCAAATGAATTTACTGGTGATCGCTGCCAAAACTACGTAATGGCCAGCTTCTACAGTACGTCCACTACCTTTCTGTCTGTGCCGCAGTAGAAGCATGCTCAGTCGGTGCTGCTTTCTTGTCGCTGCATCTTTCCTCCAATCATTTATTTTTAATCAATAACTAGATTTGTTGCCTAAGGCCTAATACTATTGTCTCTGCCTGTTGCATGAAAATGATAACAAAAAGCAATTGCAATACTCTCCTGGATTGTTTGACATTGAGGCTATGGGGAAATGAGAGACTTAGGAATATTGTAAAAGTAACACTGAATGCTGTGATATGGACTCCCCACTGACATCAAGCAGTAAAAGTGCAAAAAAGATGTTTTGAAGGCCTTGCATTCTATTTACCACAAAAAGCTTATGAAACTTTGTAGGGGGCAGTACTCCCCCAGCAAAGGCAAAGGTAGCTAATCGTCTGCTTGCATATGAGATTTGTACTCAGACCTACAAGTTAAAGGTAATTGACGTGCTTACATTGGTTCTGATGAGCACATGCCAAACAGGATCTAAATATTCGTCATCCTCGTTGTCCAAGTTTCAGGGCAAAAAGACACAGAAAGAAAAAGAAAAGGAGGACAGATGGCATAAACGATGGGGTCTGACATACATATTTGTGGCTAACAGATGCAAGAGATCAAGTATTTCAGAGCCAGATTAATTGGCAAAAGAAATTTACTAGGCAGACACACATAAACACAGACGCACATCCACCACAGAGGACACTATGTCAGACTGCTGGTAGAATCAGCACTTTAGTCACATAAGCTGCATCCCCTCATAAGCACAGAGGGATGGGTTAATTATTATTACTTGTCAGGGAGGAAACAGAAAGTACACTGAATATTTCTTTTATCTTATTAGCGATAGCAAAGTCAAAGGTAACATATAAGAAAATTGTTTAGATTTTACATTTTAACGCATGTGTACTATTCAAAATTAATTGTCTCTGGCATCTGAATGTACTATGATCTAAAAGCAATATTATAGGAACTGGTTTTTTGATGGATTACTTGCCATCACAGATTTCAGAGACTACAGGCTAGCTTAATTTAATTTCCATTAGTACATAGGACAAAAAGCAGTTTAGCATGTGCTGGACATTTTGGAGCCTGAAGATATGCACAGGTTTTTCTCTTATACTGATGGATGAAAAATGTCCATACATAATTCATACTGCCCATCATGGAAGTTACCCATGTAAACCTCAAGGGTGCTGACTAGACACCAGACCTTCCAGCACTCAAGTGTGTATTTTATGCCTTGTTTTAAAAGCTTTATTGGTGTGAGTTATTTTTAAAATGCCTCTGGTAACTATGGATTTGAAAATTTTTACACTGCCACACTGTTTAAGTTTACCATACATTAGATTTAAATGGCCTTTTTTTGTGTATTGTGGTAAAAAGTGCAGTTAAGCTTATCTTAGAAGCATCATTTGAAAGGAGGTTGTGTAAAAACATCCATTGTTGCTGAGTTTGCTCTGAAAACTGTGGAAGAATTCTATGTTGACTATAAATTCATTTTTCTACCCACGGAAAAAAAAGAAAAACAGGTTTAGGTGAGGTTTCCCTTATAGTTTTTCACTTTCCTAACTGTGGTTGGGATTTTTAGAGAAATTTTTGGGCAGTAGGTATTTTATGAAGTTACATCCATGGAAAAGGCATAGATGCCCTTGCCTCGCTGCAAGTTATGCTCATCTGCAAGTCCTTAAGTTAGTACAGTACATTGTCCTTGAAATGCAGTGGAAGGAGAGCACACCGCTACCTGCCCTAGGCTACTCTGAGAGCCCCAACAACGGCTGTGAGACTCTGGCACTTCTGCCTAGCCTGTGTCTGCAATATAACAGATGTCTTAAAATGCTGAAAATCTAAAGTGACGCTTTTGGAAAGGGTCCAGTGAGGATAGATATAAATAAAAAATAATCATTGAGGAACCATTTATATGACTTTTTATTACTACAGCCAACACCAACAAGAGCATACAGTTAAAAAAGGGACTCAGAATGAAAGTTATCTTCAGACAAATGTTGCATCTGGGGCTTAAAGCCAAGCTCATATTTTGCACCAAGTGATGCGGGTAATTAACTTAGCTCTGTAGATGCAGCTTTTGCAAAGTTCAGAGCAAATTGGGATGTTAAGAAGCCTAAGTGCCAATAGGAAACAAAAGTGTGCATGTAAGCTATACAGTGCTAATTTTACTTGATTTCCAAAGGTGTTTCTTTAAGGTGTTTTCCCCTATAACCTGACTTTTTGCTGCAGCGGTTTTGACTTTGAGGTTCACTGTCCACCGTTGGTTCATAATACACCAGAAGGTGGTCCCCAAAAGTGTTGCAAAAACACAACTGTTCCACGCAGATATATTAGCTATATTTGAATATTCATGTATTCACTAATTTTTATGTAGCTATGCGTTGAGAACTCTTATGGCATTACTGCAAACTGGTCTTTGAGATAAGAAACATTGGTGGAGCCTTGGATTGATAGAAAGTTGATGAAGCTTCTCTAGAGCATAATCATAGGCAAAGTCTTTGCCCTCCTAAATGCCCCATATTGGCCAAGAATGACACCCAAAGGGCCAGCTGACTTGCATACCTCACTAGTTAACAGTTATATGCATATTGTGCACATAGAACAACTCATGGGGCATGCTGGGAGCTATCTTGGGCATGAATTGAATTAATGAATCTTACCTGAAGTTTTCATTTTCTAAAGACTTTCAGCACCCTAAATTGTAGTCTTTATATGCTAAGACCAACACTCCTAAATGACAGAGTTGAAAAATGTCATTGCCCGTCTTCTGCTCAACGTTAAAGGTGACAGTATTTCACTATAAACAGCTCAGTTAATGCTCACTAAATGCTAAAAATGCTATGGTAGAATACTCTAATTAAGAAAGGATGTTCGTTATGCTTGAGACTCAAATCAGTTATAGGAGAACATTTTTACAGGAGCTACAGGACTTAACATCCTTTAACAGCTCAAAATTGATTTTTCAGCCTAAGTACCACCGAAATGATCCAAGACTTAGGATGCAAAATGGATACTAAGCCTCAGGAAAAAACCCAGCACCCCAGCCACTCAAGCAGAATTTGCAGACAGGCAGGAGTTTTGCTCTGTGATAGTTTGGAGGACTTAGTTTCAATTCAATTTACATAAAAAAGGAACTTTTTTAGAATTTGTATTACCCACAAAACAGGTTTAGTGAGAAGATTAAACAACGACTTGTAAGAAACATGGCACCTTGATGCATTAGAGGTGAAATTGGTCTCCCTGGACCTCTGTGCTGCTGCAGTTGATCCAAATGGGCTCTTCCCTTGTCAGGTGCAAGGTCTCCACTCAAGCCTGCAGCTATGCTCACCCCTCGCTGGACAGCGCCATGTCCTCAGGCTACCCACCCAGCCCTAAAGAGTAACCACACCAAAAGCTTGGGTGCCTAGCAGCTGTGGCACATCACTCCTGAGCAGCGCATGCAGTCCTGGAGGACCTGTTCCAGCATTTTCAGGCATCAGACTCTTGTTCTGTAGGTCCTGGACCCCAACATGCTACCATGAGCTGCAGCTGTTACTTTCTGGGAAAAAAAAAAAACAAACCAAAATGCTTCCCAAGCAATTTTTCTTCCAATATTGCACCCACAAAAATCACACCCAGAATGAAAATTGAGTTGTTAAAAACAATTATTTGCATTTCTTCTTACAGCACCTGGACAAATATCCAATAGAAACCACATCGCTAGTAAAAAATTATGCAACAATATTGTTTTAAATATTAAAAGATCAAAAATAATAGCCTGTTTATAAAATGAGACGCACCAGAATATTCTGCTTTCTTTTAAACAGATCTAGGGAACGTAGCTAGGAATACCAAAAAAAAAAAAAAAAAACAAGAGCTACATGACATCTAGGTTTGGATAAGCAATGCATGTTTCTTCAGCATGTTTTCTTGTTAGGACTTTCAGCCAGAATATATTCCAATTTTAAGTACCAACTTCCCATTGAATTACTTGAAATAGAAACTGCATGATATGAGTGACTTCCCCTAAAATTAAATTACACTCAGACTAGGAATTTACCTGTTAGCAAGCATAAGTACAGCAATATAGATGCATGGGCATGTCATTCATTTTATTGAAGACTTAACCAAGCTTTCTATGCAACTAATGTGTATCGTTACCAGTGTTCATGTAGGCATGTAATACTGACTCTTTAGGAAGAGACCTGGATGGATTCCAGTTTACTTAACCCTTAAAATGTTACTGATTGGCAAAAAATAATTGGCATTCCCACTGTGTACAAACTACAGTATTTGGTCAGAAAATTAGTATTGGATTTAAAATTCACAGCACACAAGTACAAAGAAAGTGAAAGCCACCACAGTTATGGTGTTGGCCCCGTCAGAAGGGTCTCCTAGGGTACCTGCCAGGTGGAAACCTGTGTTCCTTCTCATCCCCAGCTGCTAGGGATGGTGATTTAGACATGGGATTCATGTAAACAGCATCAGCCCCTTAACCCCAGGGTGCATCCAGCTGACCAGCGGGTGGTTCTGCCCGGGCAGCACAGCCTAAAGGCAAGGGCAAAGGACTTGGCTCCTTTTCCAAAAATGAGAGCCCTGCTACATTCAGTTTGCAGAGCTCCCACTTCTGAGCAAACAGTCCCAGACACCTCCAGGTTGCAACCTATAGGAACAGGGAACCGCATACAGGGGACAGGAATACAGGGGAAAGGAGCCCACTGCAAGTCATTTCCAGGGGAATGCTACACCTCGTAGAGCAACCCTGTACTCTAATGGTCCCATCTGAAAAAAAACAGCCATTTCACATGGCGTCCTCAGGCAATAGCCCCCTTACCTCAGTAAGATCTTTAAGGGTTAATGGTTCTTACTGCTTCCCTGCATCGTGAATGTTCAGATCCTCGTACGTATTTTGGTGTGTGACCCTTCCAGAAGGTCCGGTCATGTAGCTTGCAGAGGCACATTTCAGCACTACTCACATACCCACATGCCCCTTTGTCCTGTTTCATGTGCAGACACAGAATAGCTGTAATTCTTATATGTGATTTATTTTTGAGTACAGTATATTGCTCTTTCTGAAACTTTTTCCTTTTTCTTTCTTTTTTTGTCAACTTTCTGCATTGGCAGAGCACCTTGGGATTGAATTTATGGGTATGGACCAATCATTCCTTTTAGCCTGCAGATTTTAGAGCCTGAGAGATAAATCCCTTTTCATTTTTTTTTTCTTCACCTCACCTTTTCGATTTCTAACCAATTTCTTTATGCTTTAGAAGGGATCATACAGCTATAACAACAACCGTTGTCAAAATGTTAGCGGACATCAGCAGTTATAGTGATATTCCAAACCTAAGGAGTTCTAGGAATTAGCAAAGTAACCATAACATAGTGCACATTCATTTTTCTGCTGCGTAATTTTGGCTAGTTTTGACATTTGCTTTTGCTAAGTTCTTCTAGGGTTACTGGATTTTGGAAACACTGTAAGAATGAAGTAAAATGACTAACTACTCTATAAAAATGAATAAGCTGTTATAGCCACTTAAAAATCTGCAAATTTACAGTTTTGAGTTCTGGTTTCCAAGTAAAATTCTATGTCTAAACCCACAGCTAGGTATGTAAATTAGATGCATTTACATACTTGTTAATGATATGCACATATACATTCATTTCTAGATCTGAAAGTAGAAGTGAACTGAAAGTTATGTAGGAACTTAAGTGGAGGTTTACAGCTAGACTCCAGATTCTGAAGTCAGCAAATATAATCAATATTTCTAATACCAAACTCATATTGCACCCAACCAAGAACACTGGCAGCAGGTACTATTTTTACACTTCATCTTAATTATAATAGAAATAGGTCTTATAAATCCCCCTCATGAATAGACAGTACTTATCTGACTAACATTCAGTAATCAGGTGTACACATAATGCATCTTTTGAGTCAGATTTAGTTTGGAATCTCCTAAAATTGTTGACAAATGAAATGAACCAGCCAGTGATGCTTTTCAGACAGTTTTGGTTCATGTTCTTGTTAAAAATGTCCACACAGAATGTCATTAGCTTATGCTGTGAACTGTGGAAAACCCATTAACAGTCCAAATTTAAGAAATCTCTCACAACTCAGATTATTATTATTATTAATATTATCATCATTATTATTGTTGTTTTTGTTATTGTTGTAATCACAAGCTCATTATTTCTCACTCGTAAGTGCTAAACCGTAGTAGAGATATATGGATACATTAATATTTGAGGAATTAAATTGAAATTGTTTAAAAAAAATGACTTGCCAATTCTGCTTTGTACATGAAATTACATCAGTGGAGCCACCTCTCGGAATGAAATCCTTTTAAAAATCCCTAGAGACCTATAAGAAGAAAAGCTTTAAACCAGAGCAAATTTAAGAACATATATATCACTAATTATGTATGAATTAAGCAGATGTGAAATTAATTTCATAATGTGCGTGTTCAAAAGGCTGCACATAGAGCTATTTAATATCTTGACTTAAATCTCATGTCAGTTTGCTTCTCTACCATTCTGCAGGGGGAAAAAATGCATTCAAGTGATTTTTAACACTTAACAGGCTAAAACCTTTCCTGAATTCTCACTGCACATACATTTCCCTATGGACTTTTCCCCAAAGCTGCTATTAGTTGTTTTCAAGGTGGTTTAATGAGCACTGCAAACACAGCATGTGTTGCTTGGCTGGGCATCATTAACTGGCTCTGTAAATGTTAACACCGGTCAGGCAGTTTTGGGGCAAGACCTGTATAACCTCAAGTGCCCTATGGGACTTCAGTCCCTGCTTCACAAAACTCTCCTGGCCCTAAATAGGGTGGCCGAGTCTCATCCTAGAGAGATACATCACCCTCAGATACTGCTGTCCCAGGAAGGGAGACCCTGTCAGCTAAGAGGAGCATGGCCAGGTTTACATGGGAGCTTGCTGGTTTGCTGGGGAAGACATGCACCAACCTGGGTGCCAACCCAGGAAGCCACTCCCCACACAGCTTGAGGAAGGTCATGGTGGTGACTCCCTTCATGCACAACGTGTCAAGATGATGTCAAAAGATCATATGGGGATTCTTTCAAAGGTTGCTAGGAGTTAAGGCAACGAAAGCAGACCCACGGATTTACCCCTCCATGCCCCTGAAGACCTATAGTCCCTGCTCTTTCCCTGCACCTCCCCCCCCTGCAGTGGGTGAGAGCCCAAGAGCACCCAACACACAAGCACAAGCCTGAGCCCCCCGGCAGCCTTAGCAAAGCCATCATCAGCCGGCTGCCCGGCTCATTTGCAACAGCCTCTGCTTGGAGTAAACCTCACAGAATCAGTGCAGTCAAGCAAGATTTCCACTGTTAGTTAATCATCCTCCTCCTCTCCCTTCCCCTCCAAGAAAAATGGGTTGATATGTCCTTATTCATTTTGCTTTCACAAGCTAACATCTGACAGCATGACAGGAATAAAATAAAACATATAATAATTCAAAGCATTTCAAATTTGCCCCTATATTGCTTAGTGCAATTCTCCTGCTTCCTTTGACATCCTCATAATACACCATCTCCATGGCTAATTAATAAGCGCTTTCAGAAGGGGCAAAATGGGAAGGGGATCGATTGCCACTAACTAGCCTAGGTGAGGAGTTATGCTGTATGAGAAATCCCTTCACACTGCTTCAGCCTTTTTTCTTTTGTTCCCAAGCATTTCTTCACTCTGTTTTTTTCCAGTATCAAGCATGCTGTGCCAGGCCTACAGTCGATTTCTCAACCCTTTAACCTTGTCATTTCCTATATTTCATCTTCCTCTTTTTCTCTTTGTCCTGGTTTGATTGGTGTTTCAGCTTTTTCTTCCCTTTCTTTGTTGACTCTCTGTTCTTGGAGTTACATTTTTGTTTTCTTTAATACATTTTTGCAGCATACTAGTTTTACCAAACTCACTTCTTCCTTTCTCCCCCCCCCCCCCCAGCCTTTTTAATAGTCAGTGCTATTAATTTTGTCTGACAGTGCTCATGATCTGTTTGTTGGTATTTTGGTTTACAGTGGGTTTGGCTTGTAGGACAAACTCATTCCATGATAAGGTTCATTGTATCAGAGAAATTAAGATTTCTTTTGCTTTGTGATTTGTTGCATGGAATATTTGCCATTTGGCCACAGCAACTTTAAAATTAAACTACGTAAGCCTCCAAAACACATTGGAGGAATGACTTCAGTAGGGAGCATTTTCTTCTGCACTGTGACATCTGTGACAGAACATCATTTAAGTGCCTGAGCTTGGTCAGAGAATCATGGCACATGTGAGGGAGTGTTGTGCATCTCTGTACTTCCTAGTGAATTGCCCCACAGACCTTTTATGTTCATGTAAGTCCCTTCCACTAGGAACAATCCTGGTATTTATCCTAAAGGTAGTGCAGAGCTGTGCAGCTTTTATTCATTCATTTATTTTTAATCACCTGCTGGTATTCTGACTTGGTCAACATTGCAGTCTGATCTAAGGCCACCCTCCAGTCTGAATTCTCCAGGGCAAGCTTTCTAGACTGCCTGCTTAATCAAAAATAAGCCTTGATAAAATCTAGACACCTATTTTTGTCCTAAAAGCATCTGTAAAACATCAACACAGAATGCGCCTCTGTCTCAGTGCTCCTTACGTAACGATTCCCTAGAACAGCACACAGCAATGCTCTCTGCCAAGCATGAGCAAGGCTGGAATGCATGGGTAGCTCCAACCCAAACATTACCAGTGCTACTAACATCTTTATAATAGTGAAATATCTCTGATGAATGAGATTGGTAACAAGTTGTCATCACTGAGCAAGCTGCCACTCTAGACAGAGCAGTTCCTTTGTTGGACACCAAGGGATGCAAGTAGAAACCCAGCATTTCTCTGATACAAGGCACAGCTGGTTGTTGATACTGCTGTGTTTTTTTACAATCACTGCTGAAAGAGTCTGAATTTTATGTCCAGACCTCAGAACCTGTCTTAATTTCCATTGCTGATACAATTACAAGCCAAGCTCATGTCTTAAATGTAGAAGAATATTTTGAAATCTCCTGTAAAGACAACTAGGATATAAATTGACATGGGGGCAGAGGGAAATTGGATATGAAAACAATCCAAAAAAGATAATAAGAAAACAGATTTCTCTTAAAGCCCATAAAATAGGCCTTCATTCCAGCTGTCTTTGCAGAGTTAAACTTCTGAAGCATTTGCAAATTCATGTTATTACCTTAGTGCATTGCATTTTTATTTCCAGCAAATGCTGAGTGTTTGTTAATAGTGAAATTGTTTCACAGATATTATTTTTTGTTGACATGAAAAAAAAGATTACTTTTGACTGTAACTGTATGGATGATCACTCATCCCCATATTGTGTTAAGAGCTTATGGTGTGCTCCTGTTCTCCTTGCCATTAATAATGAGTTTGCCTGAAGTGTGGTGGCTGTGTGACTCTGTGAAGTGGTTTGTAGCATGCCAGCTGTTGACTGTGTGCTCCTTGCCTAGCATCTTCCATGCTGTGACCTTCTCTGTTTTTTGTCCCTTTCTAGAAGCTGAGGAACTGTACCAGAAACGGGTGCTGACCATAACTGGCATTTGCATTGCTCTTCTAGTAGTTGGCATCATGTGTGTGGTGGCCTACTGCAAAACCAAGTAAACTTTTCTTTTTTTATATCTGTGATTATTGATCAGGGCCTTCCCAGCTGACTGTAGCTTCAGGTCTTCCAAGCATAAAGTTGTATCTGGGTTTCTCCAGAGACAAACATGTGGCCAGGGTACTCTGGTCCAAGCAGGTCTACATGTCCAACATCAGTGCAAATATAAGACAGGTATCTGAAGAGTTTATCACCCTTCAAATATGATTCAAGCAATTTCACTGACTTACATTTCTTTGTCACGCTTTCCAGCTGGTTTACCCAAATCGAAAGGAGCATACCCTAACAACACTGGAATCATGTTGGTCTCCAGCAGTAAATTTTATGTATCAGCCTAGTTTGTTTGTACTTGAGGAAGATTAACGATGCTAAAAGTTACTAAACACCAAAGGCCAAAGAACTGAACTCAAAAGTGTTTCCGATGCAAAAGTAGGCACTTTAATGCATTCTGTGAGTCTCTGTAAATTACTGAGGGTGACTCTCAAACATGCATGAGGCACTCTGGACCATAAATTATACTGAACATCAGCAGGATTTGTGCTGCCAAAACTTCTGGCTGCTCATATAAATCTCACCACCAAAACACAAAAAATCCTTATCATAAATCTTCCACATTTGTACAAACCTGATTTACCGTTGCAGGGTCTGATTGGCAGTTGGGTTTTTGATTTTCTTTGTAAGCCCTACCAATAATGGATGTGCTAAAAGCGGGGGAGGAATGGAGTCATTTGCCCTGTTTGGTGAGCTCAGCCACACACAGACACTGCTCTCACCCACAACCCTGTGCCAGTGGTTAGCAGGGAACAACTGAAACAGTATTAATAGAACAATAGAATCAGATCAATTACTGCATTTAGAAATGACAACTGACAAGTCAGAGCAGCTAAAGAATATCTTCCCTGGTCCAAAGACTCACCAAAATCAGCTAAAATATCCCCATGAATTTCAACAAATATTTAGTCAGATTTCTGAAGTATGGTTTTCTATATAAAGAGCTATAAATAAAGAGCTATGTATTTTCTATATAAAAAGCCAAATCTACCAGGGGTCTGGATACTTTGTCATGGTTTGTCCCAGACATCAGTGATCACTGCCACCCAAAAGTGAAATGTTTTCAAATACAGTTGATGAGAGTGAAAGTGAGCTGTCAGTTCATGGCCTTTCAAATGCAGCAGTGATGCCAGAGTGCTCTCTGTGACATGTTCCCCACACGTTTTTTCCGTCAAATACGGAAAAATGCACAGAACAGGGAAATCTTGGAATGGTGTTAGGACAACACACTAAATAAAGTGTAATGGCTTAGATATTGTTAGTCTTCATGCAAGAGATACTGCTGGTCAAATGCTATGACAGTATCTTCTGACACCAAGTCTCAATTAGAAAGTGGTTTATTTGCAAGTCATGTACTTTAAGGGGAAGGCTTCTCAAAATAAGTGAAGTGAATATTAGTTTTCTCATTATTTTTTCTTCTTAGCTTCCTGAAGTTTTTTTTTAGCTAATGTCCTTTCACTAGAGGACAGCCAGCATACATGAAGGAGAGCAAAATGCAAATACATTGATCAGTGAAGGTGGGAAGTAATGTGGTTTCCTAGGGATAGTTTCCTGGGCAATACATGCCAAGATCTCAGACCCATAGACGATGAGCTCAAATTCCCTCTAGAACTCACTTCCTCTACCACATCAGGGAACTCTGGTTGTCTTCAACTCCCAATGTCTCCAAGGGCTCATGAAGCAGTGATGTGAAATCAAGTTAAAACCTTGTCTGTGTTGCTTCTCAGAGCAGGCAGGTCTTTGGGTATCATCTGCTCAGATACCTCCTGGCACTGCAATCTGCATCTGCCTTAACCACCTGTGCGTCGTAAGTCGATACCTGGTTATCCTCCAAACACAAAGCCTACATGGACCAGGGACGGTGTCCTGCTGAGTCCAAGGCAGCTATGTCTGCTTAAACCATTCATGAGGAGTGAAATAAATTAAATGTCTCCCACTAACCAGGCACACACATACAGAGAAAATAAGTAAAATACACTGTGTCAAGTCATGTTTTCTTTGTCTTTCAGCTTCCCTGGCTATAAACTTCAGCATATTTATTGTTTTCTCTCCTCCCTCATTTTTGGAAAGCTTGGAATTGTCCCCTTGAGTTCAAAATGGGATTGAAAATGGTTGTATCTTACATTGTAAAACCCTGCCAAAAATATCTGCACTTCATATGGCTTAGGGAATTGTGTGTATTATAGCTCTTCCCACAGCCAAGGTCATATGCACTCTGCAGTGTGCTGGAGCCTGCATCCTCCCTTCATTTGCCTGGATTCTGTGGCAGGACAGTGGAAGTTCTCCAGTATAATCAGACAAAGTTGGGGAATATTGATAAATTAAGTCTGAAATTGAGTAGCTCTTTCTCCACTTATTTATTTTGGTCTTATATTTAGTGTGTTCTGCATGTCCTTCACAGAGCCAGGTTTTACTGTGCTGCAAGTTTTGTTACTGACAGCTTGTAATGATGTCCTGAAAAGTTCTCTTGAGGAGAGCTGGAAGGATTAGCAACTTGGGAAGGAGCAGCTGAGGACGGGGCACAGTAGAAGCATCCAAGTCAGCCAGGGACTATGCCATTAGTTCATGTTATTGATGAATAGTTTTATTGTATGCATTAGCAGCCCTGACATCCATCTGGTAATCATTAGGTTCCAGACTTAATCTGATGTTGCTATAACAGAACCTTCCAGAGGTGCCAGGATGGCTGCAGGCTCAGACATACCTCACACACTCACTCACTCACTTTGGATTTTTTGGGGGCTTCATCTGCAGCCTTCACTTCTTTAACAGGTTTATGTATTTGGAGTGCAGTGATGAGGTAGGAGACAAATCCTATGAAACAACATGTAGCTCCCACATCACAAACATGGTGGCACACACATTTTCCAGTGGCTGGAAGCAAGGCCACCTCAGCTGCCTATGGTGAATGGAGAAACATAATCCACTGGGCTGTCCAGAAACCTGGCCATGGCTGCAGTGAGGGTCCCATGGTGGATGGTTTGAAATCTCTCCCCCCTCCTATCTGAGTGCACAAAAGAGCTCTTCCTGACATTGAGTGTGGCTTAGAAATGGCTTCCCTCTTCCTCGCGCTTTTTGCCTTCCCTCTGTGGCCTGCCGACTCTTGGAAGGGTTCCCATACATCCTTCCCCTCTGCAGGTCCCCACAGCTCCAGCTGCAATTAGGCCTGTGGTCTCAAACCTGACTCAGAGATCTTGCAGCGGTGGGGAAAGTGCTGGCAAAAACAGTGATGTTATATTATTATCATCATCATCAACATGCTGAAAGGTGCAGCTGCTTTCCCTTTGCCTATTAAAATCATTTCCGTGTTTCATTTACAGGAAGCAGAGGAAAAAGTTGCACGACCGCCTTCGGCAGAGCCTGCGCTCCGAAAGGAACAATGTGACGAGCATGGCCAATGGGCCGCACCGCCCCAACCCTCCACCGGATAATGTCCAGCTAGTGAACGTAGGTTTTACTGCCCACCCTATAACCTAGGCTGCCAGGGACACAGCAAAACTCACCCAGCAGCCTTTAAACTTCTGCCTGCTGCAGGCTGGTGGCTGAATTCTCTTGGCTTTCTCCATCCAGAAGCAATTGGGGATTTTGCAAAAAGTGTTCGGTAAAATGAGACACATTTCTGCAGGTGGCCGGTTTCCTGGGGCATGCTGCAGTGCTGCAGCTGTGCCTGTAGATCTAGGACACCAAAGGCAAGTAAAACACCTCAGAAAAAAATACTTTAGCAGGGCTAGTGCTGCAGAGATCAATTTCTCACTATAGCAGGGCTCACTGTAGCAGGGCTAAGTGCTGCAGAGATCAATTTCTTCAAACACGGGTGTCTTGCTCTTCCTTGGCCTGATGGTTGGTGAGTAGGAAAAGCCCCCTCACATCAGGAATGTGACATTATGCTTTCAGGGATAGAAGTCTGATTGAAGATTTCACCTGGACAGTAGCAGGGGCTGGGGAGATTGGGCTGGGGCAGTTACTCCACCAGCATTCCTCACCCATTTATCAGAGCATAGCAGAGAGCTTTCTTCAACTAAACTGTTAGCCAAGCCCCTTGGCCTTAGAGGCCAGGGCTCATGTCACCTGTAGCTGCTGCCTCCTCTCCTCCTTTTCCCAGAGAAGGCTGGTGCCTAGAGGGAATGAAGGCTTTCTGGCACCCTACTCTTGTGTGTCACTTCACCACTGTACACATTCATGGTATTGCAGGGATGAGTCCTGGCTCTGCTGAGTCGGTGGCAGCACTCAAGCTGACTTCGGTTATGACCAAGATACCTTTTCAGAGGGGCTATGCTTCCAATATTTCCCTTCAAAAGACCTAAATCTATAGTCAGATTATTAACAGAGAGAAAATGAGGATTCCCCACTGATGAAAATGTAGTCCTACCAGCGACAGTACTGGCTGGGCACTGCACATCTCCAGTTCCATTTCAGGAGGCTTTGGCCCTTCTGCAGATCATCACCTGATGAGAATGGGTCTGTCATGGTGCTGCACCTATGGACATTGGAAATAATAATTTCCTGCAAAGATTCTTATCCTGCAGTGAACAATTGCTAATGCCAACTACTGCTGTCTTCTCCATCAGGGAAGAGTATGTTTGTTGTGTCTGATTGTAAAGGTCTTTATCCACGAAGACTTCTAATTTCTTTGCTAAACACATATGTTGTTTATAGCCAGACTGGGATGCAGACCTTTGCTGATTTCCTCATTTATTTCCTCCTACTCTGGGTTTAGATGAAGCATGTATGCAGAGGTGTACATGAATGTGCTCAAATGTGTCAGTGTGGTTTCTGCCTGTATTTAAGTGACAAAATTTCCACTTTGGCACGGGTGAAAAACTGCGACTTCTGGGGGAGGGATTGGAAATTCTGTCTGCAAATGTGCTGTGAATTACAGTTTGTAAACCTGAGGTTTGTTTGGGGTTCTTTCAGCAGTACGTTTCAAAAAATGTTATCTCCAGTGAGCAAGTCATCGAGCGAGAAACAGAGACCTCATTTTCTACAAGCCACTACACCTCAACAACACATCACTCCGTGACAGTCACCCAGACATCCAGCCACAGGTACTGAAGGGGGAAGGCAAACAGCACCTGTAGTATCTGATCTGTTTCTATTGCAAAACAGAAACCATGTTGGGGGGGGGGGTGGAATTTGTACAATTCATAAAACTCTGCAGTCCCGGTTACCAACCCAAAGGTTATGCTGCACATCCCACCAGAGCCCTTTCCTTGCCCTGCTTAAACTTGTGTTTATCTGCATTTGCCACCAAAGCACCTCTCACACTCCCCTCGCTTCTTCCCCTTTCCTGGTTGCTGCCCTCCAGCTGGAGCAATGGCCACACTGAAAGCATCCTCTCTGAAAGCCACTCTGTGCTCGTCAGCTCATCCATGGAGAACAGTAGGCATGCCAGCCCATCAGGACCCCGGGGCCGCCTCAGTGGCATTGGTGGGCCACGGGAAGGAAACAGCTTCCTCCGGCATGCAAGAGAGACCCCTGACTCCTACCGAGACTCTCCTCACAGTGAAAGGTAGGATACACCGCTTCATTGCTTTCAGCTGGCAAGGTCGGTGTTCCCAGGTGGTTGCAAAGCCTGGGAGCACAGGAGGAAACCCAGCAGTGAAGCTGTTCATGGAGGGCATGTACCTTCTCATACATAAAGGTGGAGATCTTGGTAGTCATTTAAAGTCTACCAAAAACATTTCTTCCCTTCTTGCTTTTGCTGGGTTTACTCCTAACAGCCAGCAGTTCACATTTGGAAAAGCTCCACTGAAGTCATTTGGCAGAAATTTCCATTATAAAGTAGAAACGGATCTTTGCTTGATAAACATTTTCTTAGAAGAAGCAAGGCAGAAAACGGAGAGATTTTGTGAGACACAAAATGTGGGGAGAAAGCAATGTATTAATCCATAGGAGAAAAGCATTAAGGACACCTAAGCAGTATGAGAATTCTCCCACCACCTACTTTTGGGGGGAATTCCAGCTGCTATACCTGTTATCTCCTCCAAAAATTCCCCTTGACGCTTTAGTAAATAAAAGCACACAAAGCAAAGTGCAAGCCAGGAGAGCCCAGACTGTTATTAAATCAGGGCAGTTAGAAATAAAACAGGCCAGGAAGTTTCCAACAAAGTAATTTTTGATGTGAAAAGGCTGGTTCATCAGTACCTACGGTCTGCCTTGAAGTGCATCAGTCTCAAGAAAAGTTTTACTGAAAAAGTCTTCTCAGCTTTGGGCTAGGATTTTATCTCAAGCGTACGAGATGGCCCCAGAGTAGTAAAAGAAGAAACTGAGAAGAAACAAGACATTCAAAAATGGCTTTTTTTCCCCAACAATCAAAGGCAGAAGGAAAACAAAGGGTTATTGGGCCAGTTCTCTGAGCACTGTGAAATCACAGAGGATTTTATCTCATGGGATGTCCATGATGTCAAAAATGCATCCAGGCAGTCCTCAGGGATACCAAGTTATGTAGGAGACAAATTGTGTTCCCAGAAGAAATAATGTGTAAGTACATCAAAAGCCATTTCTGTGGTACTCCCTCTGCTGCTACACAGACAACTGCTTTACAGCAGTCACCATGGCTGAGGGCTCTCTGAATAAGGCCTGTAGGACCACTAAGGACAGTAAGCTAACTCTCTCCTTGTAACAAAGTCCTCTGTTATTTATCATGGAATTTAATTTCAAGATATGTGGCTCACATGATACAAACAGCCGTGGCCCCAATCCAGTAGAGCACTTCAACAAAATTAACTTTAAATCATGCAAGTAGCCCCATTGAAGTCAGGGAGATTATTCACACGGGTAGAGCTCTCAGCATGTGCTTAAGTGCTTTGCCGGATCAGGACCTATAACAGTAAATACCACATTCTGTCCCACCTGGGAACTGTACAGGATTCGCAGCCACACGCCACTGACAGTGAGTATTACAGCTTAGTATATTTGGGTATCTGTGTGTGAGAAGTGAAGATCATTCACGCTGTCTTTCCACATCGCCTAGGACAGCCAGAGCATCATTCTGATACATGCTGTTTAGACTTCAGGATGGGAAAAGACGCATATGCCTTTCCATTTTGATAAGAAGGAAGGCATTTCATCAATGATACTGTTTCTTGAAGATTATGCTACAGGTGAAGAGCAGCAACATTTCTGTGATAATTCGCTAGTCATTGATCTCCTAGCCTGAAATGTGCCTGAAATGACCATGAATTTGGAACGCAGAAGATAATTTCCTGGGCATTAAATTAGGCCTCATCTATTTCTATCAAGCAGGAAATACATAGCAGGTTATTTCTGAGATGGATTGCATGTACATGCGTGTATATAAGGGGGAAATTAGAGTTATTTGCACCTAAAAATCATTCTGAAATATACAGGAATGTATGAGCTGACAAGCTACTTCCTGAAGCCAACAAATGTTGTTGTGCTGTGAATTGGTATACCAAATTTGTGCTCCCTTCCCCCCCATCCTCCAGCAACCTCGCAGTTTTGAAATAAAATAGGAGACATTACAAGGTGTTCCTTTGCATTACCCTATCCTATTGTTGAATCCTATGCCCTGACACCTCTTCAGACAAGCAGAGACCCCAGGTACCTACATTTTAGAAAGTCCTTAGCCATTTTACAGGAGAGAAGATCAAAAACCACCATCCTCTGCATGAAAGGCTGAACTATATGATGAAGTGGGCAGCATTTGACTAGCTAATGTTTGTTGGCCAGCCATGGATACACTCTGATCCCCTTTTGCTGAGCCAGCATGGTTTACCTCGTGTTGGCCATGAAGCTGGATGAATCTATCACCTTCTAACCTTCCTTTCTGGATGGGCTACAGCTTCATGTGTTTGACTTCTGTGCCTCAGCTTGCGGACAACAGCTTGTTACACTGCTCCATTATGGTGGGGGGGAATACAGCAGAAATATGTGAATGTAGGGTCCTAGTTTCTGAGCAAAGACTCCCCATACCTCAGTATGATTAACTTGACACTGGTGGAACTATGCAGTATGCTGGACACATTTAACTAACTTAGTGCATTAACTGAATGAGTATAGCTAAAATTCTGTGTGACAAGAAGATGTACATCCCACGCTGCACCAGCTGGGGAAGCAGGGAGGCCTCAGTTTTTCAGACGGTGCCTAAAAATGTGAAAGGGATGATAAGCGCACTCATGGAAGGAAAATACAGAATGACATCATTCCTCCGATGCACTGACATATTAATTGCTCTCTGCTCTCACTAGCAACCAACTTGATTAATTCCCATGCATAACTCCAGTTTCTCCTCCTCTTCAGTTGATGTAAATCAGTGTGCCTCAACTGAAACCAATTTAGTCTACTACACTGTAGTTCAGGATTTGTCCCTGTTTCTCTTTAATCCAATAACTCAATTTTCATCAAATGTAATATGTGCAACTAAGTAATAGATTGGAAAAGAAAGTTGGATTTAGATTAATTTTTGTAATTTCAGGCTCAGATACATAAATCACTGATGAAAAACTAAATAACTGTCAATCAAAGCCATATAACTTGTCTCAGTGGGCCTGTGTAGGAGATAGAGCTTATAAAGACTTTAAATTTGGACACAGATGAAATTCAGGCAGGTGAACTTAGGATAAGAATAAAGGCAAAGCTAAACTATACAAAATGTCATGCTGGGCAGTGTGCTTTTGATTGAGAGATTTCAAGCAGATCCTCATGTGTCGTGAATCCACACAGCCTCATAGCATTTCATGGAGCTCTGCTGGTTCAAACCAGATGAGAGTCTTACGTTTTTTGTCCTCGTCCTTTCAGACAAGTTCTGTACTGGCACCTAAGCTTTGTTTTTAGAACCCAGCTTTGAACACTACCCCTCCCACAGAAACAATGAAGGAAGAGGAGCAAGTTTTCCAGAGCAGTCATGAACAATAGGCCAGACTGTCCTCTCTGTCAGCAGTTGTTGCCACATGAGGACGAATAGCCCTCCATGTTTCTTTGCAGATAGACCTACCAGCCAGGGCAACTAGCGTCTAAGGAGTGCAGCAGTACAAAGCTGCTGGGACAGTGCTGCAGATCCTACTCCAACTACCCCTAGTAATTAAAATCAGCAGAATCTGGCTGTAGATTTTGCCTAGACTTTGTTCTTCTCCTTAGCCTGAGACAGTCTTGTTGCCAGGAGCGGGTGAAGCTGCCGGAGGGCTGTCCCTCAGTTCTCTTCCTTTCTCTCCTCCTTTCTGTTTGTGTGCACTCTAGGTTCTGGTCAAATCCTGCCAGAAGTGCTGCAGCCGTTTTCCTTTTGAGAAAATACTTGCAAATGCATTTTATTTCTGGCAGCCCCCCAGCCTCTGAATCCTACTCCTGGATTCATTCCAGGAAATTATTCTGGCAAATAATTTATATCATCTCCATGGCTCTTCTGAGGCAAACAGACCTGGGGCTTTGCTTTGCTCCTCCTGATCTCAAACGTCTTTGCCTACAGTCCCAGAAGTCATCAGTTTTATAGGATTAATAGCAACAGGAAGGCTTCCCTGGTACCCCTGTGTGAGGATGCTGGGGATCTTAAAGGACCCCTGCCTTTTCCTTCCCAGACCATGTGAGCAGCTGTGTTCACATGCCACTACCACTCCCATGCTCGCAACCTTTCCCCATCTCTTTTCTTCAGGTATGTCTCAGCTATGACAACACCAGCTCGCATGTCACCCATCGAATTCCACACTCCAACTTCTCCCAAGTCACGCCCCTCCAAAATGTCACCACCGGCTTCCAGCTTGACCGTCTCCATCCCTTCAGTGGCAGTGAGTCCCTTCATAGAAGAGGAGCGACCACTGCTCCTGGTGACCCCACTGCAGCTACATGAGAAGTATGACCAACACCTTCAGCAATTCAACTCCTTCCACCACAATGCTGCTCATGAGAGCAACAGCCTGCCACCAAGTCCTCTGCAGATAGTGGAAGATGAGGAATATGAGACCACACAGGAGTATGAACCAGCACAGGAGCCTCCAAAGAAACTCACCAACAGCCGAAGGATCAAAAGAACAAAGCCAAATGGCCACATTTCCAGCAGGGTGGAAGCAGACTCCGACACAAGCTCTGACAGCAGCAGCTCCGAGACTGAAACCGAAGATGAAAGAATAGGTGAGGATACACCGTTCCTGAGCATACCGAACGCCGTGGCGACCAGTCTGGAGCCGACTGCTGCCTACCGGATGGCTGAAAGCAGGACTAACCCGGCGAACCGCTTCTCCACACCGGAAGAGTTGCAAACAAGGTTGTCCAGTGTGATAGCTAACCAAGACCCTATTGCTGTATAAAACATAAACCACATAGATTCACATGTAAAACTTTATTTTATATAATGAAGTATTCCACCTTTAAATTAAACAATTTATTTTATTTTAGCAATTCCGCTGATAAAAAAACAGGAGAGGGAAAAAAACTTTTATAAATTAAATATACCTATGTACAAATGTGTTATGTGCCATATGTAGCAATTTTTTACAGTATTTCAAAAATGGGGAAGATATCAATGGTGCCTTTATGTTATGTTACGTTAAGAGCAAGTTTTGTACAGTTACAATGACGGCTGTCCCATAGTATTTTGCAAAACCTTCTAGCCCTCAGTTGTTCTGGCTTTTTTGTGCACTGCATTATAATGACTGGATGTATGATTTGCAAGAGTCGCAGCAGTCCCTCTGGTTGCTTGCTGTAGAATCCCCAGATCAAAAAGCCCTGTGATGGCACTACCACCTTACCCACCCCACCAGAAAAACACACACATGCGGGAGAAAAAAAGAAAAGAAAAAAAAAAAACCAAAACAAAAAGAAAAAAAAAAACAGCAAAAAAAAAAAAAGCTGAGAAAAATAACAAAAAAAATATTTTCTTCTATAAGGAGTTTTATTTGCTTTCTGTATATGAGATGAGTTTTGTCTGCTCTCTGCCAGCCAAAAGGTTTGCTTCTTTGAGCACTGGAATAATAGTAGATCCAACAGCATGCTACTATTAATTACAGCAGGATAACAAAAAAAAAAAAAAAAAGCGCCAACCTGCATTAAATAATGTTACTTATAGAAAGAAAGTAATACTGTGATTTTAAACCAAATATATTATTAATCAGAGGTCAGCTTGTAATCACTAGGAGCTGCCATTTCATTATTTTCCAGATATTAATTGTTCTAGTTATCCCTTAGAAAACGGGCTTAGGTTAGCTGAGGCTTTGAACCCAGTACTCTATTAAAAAAAAAAAAAAAGGAAAAAAAAGAAAAAGAAAAAAAGAAAATATATTAGTTTAAGTTAATGGGGCAAATATAATAGCAGTTATCTGTAACCAAGCAAGGAAGAGATTTAGCTGGAAAACAAATGCCACTAATAAAAGTGCAATCAGTTTTCACCTCTTTTTTTAATGTTGATTTCTAATAGGAGATTTATCTTTTTATTTCCCCTTAATTATCTCTCCTTTCTTCTCAGATTAAGCCCTGACAAGCTTCTAGCAATACCTTGTTAGAGTTTCTGCTGGAGTAAGGGTTACTTTTGGACAGAGAAATGACTTTCAGGGAAGAAACGATTTGCTGAATAGTAAAGGGTACAGGCAAGTAGGAGGGACATAGCAGAAGCATGAACTTAATTTCTACTTGCCTTTATTGTCTCCATTATTTGGGATGAGAGAGGCAAGGCTGATGGAAAGCCTGTTTATGAAGGCAAACACACTATGTAGGTTACAGCTGCAGTCTGCGTGGCTATTTCATGTAAGTGTCTACATAGCCAGTGATGGTCTTGAAGTCTTTGACTAGTAATGAACAAAGATGCTGTCAGTGCTGGAGTGGCTGCATTTGTTCAGAAGCAAATGGCCTCTTTTGCAGTGAATTCCTATCAGTTTAGTCAGGGTCACTCTGCCTCCTGTCTTCTTTTGATTTTTGTTGTATGTTCAGTTGGCACAGCATAGACTCAGGACTGATGTGGAAAACAAATGTTTTTCCTAGACTCCGGGGATTCTGAAAATGAGAACATATGTTTTACAGGTATTACTGGACTCTAAATAAGAGCCATGTCAAGAGAAAAGGAATTTCAGCCAAACTACACTCATCCTTTGGGCCACATCCTGGTCCCAGTTAAATGAAGAGAAATAAGTCAAGAAAATTTTGTGAGATGTAAACCTGAGGAATTAAAGTCCCGACTCAGTAAATTGTTCGAGCATATGCTTATGCTAATCCCAGCAAAAGTTTATTCAGCATGTGTTAGACTCCCGTTGATGTATCCAGTGCATGCATAAAGTTAAGCATGCGCTTAAGAGGTTTGCTTAACAAGGTGACCTACTGATTTGAGACCTAGAAGCAAAGTCAAGTAAATGGAGCTGTTTATCAGGATGATGAAAATCAGTGAGTCCCTCACTGTATGAGTAAACCACATTACATTAGTAATGGGTGAGTCTGTCTGACCATCTGATTCAGCAGAAAGAGAACAAAAAACCCTTGGTATAGGAAGAACATAATGACAAAGTTGTACACTAAGGTGTTGGTGATAAAAGCAAAAGGCTGGGAAACTAGCATAGCCTTGGCTACATGGTGGCTGAAATACCACAACCTCTTATTTGAGAAGTCTATGGGAGATGGTGAAGTTTATCGAATACATACAGTTTGGATTTAAGTCCCCTTTGTAATTCTTTTCCCTAGCTGGCATGTACTTAAACACACTTTGCCTTTGCAGACAAAAGCTCTCCATGAATTCTAGATACCACACAGTCATTTTCATCCCTTTAGTCATGGCTATCTTCAATTCCATGCAGCAGAACATCCACCTCCCCAGCAATTTAGTAGTACAGAGGGCCAGGTGGGCTTTCCTGATGCAGACAAGTTTTCAAAGGCTTTGCACTGTTGAGTTTCCAGAGACACACTTGAAAATCTGTCCTTTATGTAAGGTCTCTGACACTGCAATGATCTTACAGGACAGACAAGACAGGAAAAAGATGGTGGAGGAACAAGAGATTTGCCCCAAAATCACCCATTTTAGTGGCAGAACACAGTTTATAACACAGGTCTTTTCCAATTTTCTCCAGTATAGATAACCCATAAGGCCAGCTCTCATTAAAGTGTCTGTGATAGCCCAGACAGATTAATCAGGATGGAAAGGGAACTTGTCTTGAAATGGAGTAAATTATTTGACTACTAACACCATTATTATGGAGGGCCAGTATAAAATGAAGGAGCAATTGTATGCTTGGGAGTTGTACATGTGAGATTTATTCATTGTAGGTCTAGAGAAAAATGTTACACCTCTTGTGTGTTGCAGTGCCTCAAAGTCAAAATGGCATGCAGCCATTGCTCCTTCTCCCCAGTACATATAGTAGTGTGTTATCAGATACCAGATAAGCATGAAATTAGGCTGGGGACTTCACATGGACCTAAGAACAAGAAAATACAATTGGGGATATGGCTGCCTAAGCCCTTAGGTCTTTGGGGAGAGCCCAGCCTTACAGCACAATTCATGCAACAGCGAATTATGGGAGTTGCCCTGGCCTGGCACTCACAGAAGTAGAAGCAGGATGCTGCCCCTCACCTCTGGACTTCTTTTAGCATACTGTGAGGGTGCTCTGTGTCAGTCAAGTCCACATCCCAGAGTTAGCGAGTCTACATGGCCAGAGGTTCAGCTGACAGGCTGCAGTCAGCTCCTGCTTGACAAGCAGCTGGAAGATGCAGCAGCATGAAACAGAGCCAGCAAGTGCCTACAGGAAGGGCCAGCTCCCCTTTTGGGGGTATTTGCTTCATTACCCAGACCTCTGAGCTAGGCAGTCCCAACACCCACCCCTGAGCAATTACCCCTGTGTAACCCTTGCCAACTTCTGGCTGAAAGTCACGGCAAGGAGATATTTTGAAGGAGACATTGAAGAGCGGGGAAAATATTCCAGTGGCGGTAGAGTTGTTCAGATTGCCCTGATTTCTTTTCATTTAACTTGAGCTGTGAGTTTTTCTTGCTTATGTGTTTATATGCAAGAATTATTCCAGAATAAAAGGTTTCTTTCAGGGTGTATAGCTGGAATATGTTGTGCACTACCTGGTACAGCCTGCCTATTCCACTGGTGCAAATCATCACAGCTCCTCAGAGGTTCTCATGTAACCAAGAAAAAAATACTCCCTCCTCTTGGCCCAGCTATTCCCTTCTCACTTGAGCCATCCCCAAGACCCCACAGATTTAAGAGATCAATCAATCACTGCCTTTATCAGGGAAGCAGGAAAGCTCCTTCTCTTTCCAGTCCTCCAAAACAACAACACTGCATCTCCCTGCTTCTCACACACATTGCAAGAAGTTCCTGAGCATCCAGGATAGTAAATTTTTGTCTCCTCTAAGGACACACTTCTTAGCCTGTTGAGTACTTCCTGGCCCTGCAGTGTGGCTACTTAACATCAGCTGGGACTTACTTCTAGTAAGAAACAAAAAAGCACCTATGAAATGCTGCAGAGAAGGGCAGACAAAGAACATGGCCAATTATCATCATTTGTAATTCTCTACCCTATTGTAAATACATCTTGTACATATTTGGATGTTTTCATCACTTACTGTCTTTATGAATGGTGTGTTAAATGAGACTTAGTTTATTGTGTAACACTGTAAATAACATAACGTGCTTTATTATTTATGCATAGGCATCTAACACGCAGAGAAAGTTATCCTCATATTATTTTAAGATATATGTCAAAACTATGTTGCATTTTTCTTTTTGCTTTGAAAAAAAAATTGTAATATATCCTCTTTTTCCCCTCTTTTCCTTTAAAAGAAAAATGAATGCTAATTTATTGTTCAGGAGAGAAAGGGGATGTAACTGAAAGGCAAACTGTTCAAAGAACATGCTATGGAAGCCACAAGCTACTGATAAACTAAAGAATTTATTATCCCAAATACAGCAATAAGTAATTGTTGATTTATTAAGGTTTTGTTATTCATTTTCAGTAAAAGAGGTGCTGGATGAAATTGTTTATGTGTTCTACTGGCCCAGCTGCTCAGCAGGCTGAGTCAGGTCACTAGCCACCATCCTCCTGGATCCCAATGTTGTTGTAAAGATCTTGTTCTGTCTTTGTGGGCCACTGTTCCCTGAGTTTTCTCATCCCTGTGGAGGTCCCTGGCAGGTACAACATTCTTAGTTTCTTAATTTAGAATTATTACCTTTACCCTGACTATTACTACTCAAAGTGGAGGGGAAAGGGGGGACACAGAAATGACACAGTCTTGAGGCTGTGAGAGCCTGTACTACAAAAATGTCACCTCACTGCTCATTTACAGTCAATAAAGCAAATCAGATACTAGGAATTATTAGATGACATCATCATGCCACTGTATAAATTCATGATTTGTGCAGATCTCAAATACAGTGAGTGGTCCTGGTCTTCTTGTCTCAAATTGAAAAAAGCATAATTGGAGAGATCTTGGAGAACAACACGGGTCACTAAGTTGGGTCTTGTTTGCCTGGAAGAAAGGACAGCTGAGGGGTGATATCACAAAGGTCTATGGACACATAATTATCTTGTAGAGGGTAGGCAAGGACTGGCTGTTCAGTATGTCTTCCAACATAAGAAACTGAGTTCTCAGCCAAAACCAGTGGGCACCGTATTCAGAAACATGTAGCTCTTCATGTGAGGTGTAGTGCACTTGGAGACCTACTTCCTGCAAGAGCTTGTGAATTGTAAAAGTTTCCATAGGTTCAAGCAGAGGCCACTTCTTAGATAGACTCCAATGAGAATTCTTCAGTCCATGGAAACTACATCAGATGTGGAGGTTGTATAACATGGAAATATTGTGTATACTTGCCCTACTCTTAACCTTTTCCACCTATTTGCCACTCTTGGAGAGAGGGCATGGCAAATATCTGATCTGGCTGTCCTTACATTATAATATATACAATATAGTAACGTGCAAAAGAAGAGGAAAGCCAGGAGTGAGCAAATGAGGGAGGAATGCAGCGAAAGTATCCTTAACGTGTTTCACACCCATTTGTTCCTGGGTCTAGTGGAAACATGATACGTAGTCAGATTCTTCCCATCTACACAGAGATAATGAATGAGATGCCAAACCAAGAAAGGATGGAGAATGGATCTATGGAGGGATGGAAGGATAAAAAATGGAGGGATGCAGGAATGGAGGGATGGAGAGAGAGGAGGAAGGGAGGAAAAAAAGGATGGAGGGATAAGCATGGGTTTTTTGTAACCTTCTCCCCTGCCATTTCAACACAGAGAGTGAAGACCTGGTGGGCCAGTCAGACCTCAGGGTTGCTCTGAGAAGACAGTCTCCTTCTCAGGCAACCCCACTGGCCTTTCTTGGGTGGGAGAGGAAGGTACAGGATTTTCGCTGAGTCAGCAGGGCTAAGGACCTCACATCACATTTGACAGAGACCAGAGTGCTTTGGGGAGCACATCCTTCAGTGTCCCAAATGGCTGTGCATGCAAGAACATTGTTTGTCACTCCATGTTGTCTTTATCCTGTTGTCTCTCTCTGCCCAGCTCCTGCCTCTGCACTTCTCCACAAGGTATGGAAGCAGATGGCCTCAGGGAACACTGCAGGAAAAGCAAGCAAACCCTTCTCATTTCTGCAGCCCACAGCTGGGTATTCTCTTAGCATGCCAACTCCACTGTTATGAGTGCGTGATTTGGATGACGCATTCCCCAAGTTAGTTCTTTTCTGTCTCAGCAACAGCTGATGGGAAGAAAACCGTATCAAATGCTGCAAGATGTTGCAGCCAGTCACTGATGATTAACCTGTGTAGCCCAAGTAAAGCAATATGGACCCTGCTCAGTTTATGAGCCTGAGAACTCCTCTTTAGTAATAACAGACTCTTAATAACTGCACTGGGAACCCTTCAGGGCTAAATCTCATTTTACCACAGAAAAAAGACACAGAGCCTTGGGGATTTCTGAACCCAGAGCACTCTTTCTACCTGATGCTATGACCTGATGGTATGGAGTTACCGCAAAGTAGCCCTCATTGGAAAAGCCCTACTGATTGCAAATTTATTGTCCTGACAAAGTGTAGCAGTACAAATGTCACAAATCACTGGTATGTTCCTGATGCCCACATTTCCACTCATCAAGACAAGGACTTAAGGAAAGTTCCACATCTTGCAGTGAGGAAGAGGTGGAACATGATCAGACCCATGCACATCTAGGAAGGCTGCCATATTGATGGAGTTGAGGATAGTATGGCTCTTTCCACCAGCAGGTATTTCGAACTCTGCACTTTCTAGATACTGCACAGATTGCCTGAGCTTGAGAAAAAAAAATATCAGTATGAACAGAATGAATTCCCCTTGAAAGCTACAGTTGATTCTCTAAGGTTCTAAGTTCAGGAGGTAACCTAGAATCAACTTCAGTTGGAAGCTGGACTTTCAGCATAAATGGCAGCTGCTCAGGTTTCCATTTTGTTTCTTCTCCCTGGAGACAGCAAGAGATTTCACTGCACTGAATTCTCTGTTCTGGGAACTCAGAAGAGAGGAACCCTGGCACCAGCACATAGAAACTACATGAAATAAGGCCAGCTCTTCTGATGACAGCAACAGAGAAGGGAGTATTTGCAAGGTTACATGCTCATCAGTTGGTAGGGAGTACAGTCATTACTCTGGTGATGGCCAATTTGGAACCAAGCTTCAGAAGCCAGATATTGTGTGGGAGGTGTTTTAACTTACCCTACACATTACTGCAGACAGTTGGGTGATGTGTTTGCTATGTGTACAGACACACAGAGTCTCCCAATTCATTGTAATGATTTCCTGATGTTCAGTGCATACTCAGTGACAGGAAAGGTAAAATGATTCAACAAGACCATTCAGCAGCTGCAAAATTGCCTGTATCCAGGAGGAAACACCTTTTGCACCGCAGAGAGTTAAAAATAAGGGTAGTATTTGACCTGTGCGTCTGTGAAGAGATGGAAAGCAAATGCTTCTTGCTTTCCCAATTGGAAGGCTGGACCCCAACTTGCAGAGGAGCTGTCATGGGGCCACAGCTGAGAAGGGACTGGCAAGGACTGAGGGGACTCAAGGGTCAAGGGTGGTGGTGTCTCTCTCAATTCATGGAAACAACCCTAGCCATGAAAGATTTAGCTGAAAGAGAGTCATTGAAGTGACCCAAGTGATGCGTGTCCTGGGTTCCTTATAGGCCACAAAGAGAGAGGCTCTCCAAAAAGATCCTTATCCTAAGTTCTGACCCTTGGCAGATTCCCATCTCTTTGCTCCACCTTTGCACCCTAAAAGGCCCCAAAGCTGAGGGTGAGGTGAGTCAGAACTCCACAGAAACAGACAGTAATCTGCTAAATGTATATGAGGATACCTGCACTTACAGCATCGTTCCTCAATAAAGCAATGTGAATTAATAGGGCTGTGAAAACAGTAATACAAAGCTACAGGAAATAAAGGCCACTTACATGAATGCCACAGTATAAATGCAGGAACCTGCAATTCGATGTTCAGTTTTAAAATCATCCCCTAGTAAAAGTTCCAGAAAACAAAATAATGCCATCCTAGTGATACATGAACTATTTTCATAATAACTTCAAAAGTCCTGTAATTCTGATGTCTTAGCATCTGCGCACACCATCTTACCATATTCAGCTAAACCATGCAAAATTTATCTGATGGCTAATGATTATGAAGTAAAACTTAAAATAATAAAACTCCATATAACAACTGGCAGACCATAGCTACCTTGTATCTGTTTTATAACCAGCAGCTCAGTTATCGTATTACTAAATCACACATTCTGGGTTTTATCAATGAAGGGAACTCTATACCCAAAATATTTTTATTTCCAAGTGCCAACTTCAAACAACTTATATGTCCTGCTACAAACAGCTTTACCAAATCCAAATAGGAAATTGTGAATACTGAAGTCCAGGTAACAGATTAGAAGTCCAGGTTACCGTAAATACAGATGAAAGCATTGTCTTCACTTTCCTTTTTTTGGATGCCTGATATAGTCCACTCAGCTTTGTCTGTGACTGCAACAGGTTCTCAGCTTCAGAAGAACAGCACGCCTGCTCCTTCTTCGAGCAGAATCACATCACCCAGTGTCAGCACATAGTTCCAAGATGTTTATTAGAAAGATTTTTAATTGAAGATCTAAATGGGCTGAGTTTGTCAGTTTCCAAGCACCATCCCAAATGCATGCACCGTGTCTTTCAGATTTAGGAAAATGAAACGATCTTTTGAGGGGGAGCAGAACAAAGTGGATGCTACAAACACAAACTAAGGCGAATGGAAATGTGCCATTCCGCCTGTGGAATATGATATTGCTGAACTGCAGAGCAGTGGTTCAAAATCCCCTGCAGTTAAGGAGCCACAGGCCTGGCTGACTTGGGAGCTCCAAAAATATTCAGAGCATTGCTCTAAAAGGCAGCCATCTGAGTGCACTGCAGTGCGCTGTGCCCTAGGCATGTGTGGAGGTTCCAAAGGTCAGCCATTCTTGGCTGCAACTTGCTTTCAGGGGTGTTAAGTGCTCCCAGACTGGCAGGGAAGCCTTTTGGCTTGAAGACGCCTATCCAGGGCTTTCTTCCTGAAGCCAGTGAGGAGACCAAGACCTCAGCAGTGTTTCTTCCAGCCTGAACAAGAAGAAAACAAATGCACAGCTTGACTTTCCGTATGTTGGCCTGAAACCAAACACCGTGTCAATACTCTGCTATGACAGCTATGGTAGTGAAAATTACTTCAGAACAGAGGCATGACATGACCTATAAGCCAAACAATCTCTTGTACTAAAAAGCAAATGTTTTCCCTGATTTCTTGGAGGGGTGGTGGGTGGGAACTAAGATGATGAAGTGCAATGGAAACTTTCAGCCTGTAGGCTGGGTGAGGGCCCTCCAAAGCCTGGGGGCACAGACAGCACTTCAACAGCAGATGGTCTCATCCACACAAACATGGTGCCTCAGCTTGCTCCTGGTGGCAAAGGCACTGCAGGCTTTTCAGAAGATGGTACCTGCTTCTAGCGTTGCAATTGCTTGGTGGCTGAGGTTGAGACAAAAACATCACAACCATCCTCATACATGCAAGCAGT